GGTAATGTTTCTTGTTTATAGTTCTCAAGTGCATCAAGTAGAAGTCCAGAAGGAAATAAAGTTGGTAATTCATAATTTTTTTCTTGACTTGATATATAATACCCCAAGAGAAGACATATGAAGAGTCGTTGTTCTCTTGAACTGTCATCAATACGATTGACAATAAATTCAAGATTTGACGCCCGAATCATAAAATCATTGTAAATAGTTAATAAATGCTGATATTCCATAATTTTGTCTTTAAGGTTATTAACTGTGATTGTATTATAAATACAATCAACGAAAGCAAAGTCGTCTAAAGTATTGGATAACAAAAGAAATTCATTACTTTTCCATATACCGAATTGTTCATTTCTTAAAATATCCAAAGTGCGACTGTCTTTAATACTGAATCCTTCGAATGCAACTTTTGTTTCCCCAGGAGAAATGGGCGTCAAAAAAACAGCAAATTTGTATTGAATACCAAAATTTAATAACGAAATAGTAATCGGATTAGATTGCCAATATGTTGGATTTTGAGGAAATGGTCGAGAAAGTCGTACAATGGGATTTTTCCAAAGTCCTAATTCTTTTACATTACCAAGAACTATAGGAATTCCATATTTTTCGACATATTTTGGTAAATGAACATGAAACGTAAATGTTTTTTCCATTTATTTTTACAAAAGTGCAAAATAGCAAACCGTTCCGAAAAAAAAAACATTTGAATTTATATAGGATGATCGACAAATAGATCGACATTATGGGTAGAACCAGAAATGATTAAATGATGTTACACTAATATTTTATTTCCATGTACGGTCTATCAAATTAGCCAATCATACCATCATACGTTTAAAATGCGCTAAATAAATTTAGTTAGATTAATGCGAAAATGGCGATATATTATTTAATCAGTGTTACATTTTTAAAGACGCGCCGTTTAGAAGAATTTCCCATATTCTAATATTTCAAGAAAATATGAAAAAAAAAAATTTGTTTTTTTACCGTGGTTTATAAAATGAAGTAGACATATTTTCGGGAACATAAATGTTTCAAGAATTATATAATTGCATCAACAACAGGCGCAAAGCAAGTTAAAACAAAAAATAAAAATGATATTCAAAAACTTATTTTTGAATTATTAAAAACTCCCACTCCACCTTCTTTCTAACCTCTTTTTCACAACCTTTACAAAAAAACCTACAATCGAACCTCCAACATCTCCAGATAATCCTCCCAACTTTCCTAATGATATTCAAACTTTACCTATAAAGAAAGTCATATGCTATTATTTATAAAGCCAAAACTGAGATTTACGAATATAATAATCTATTGCAAACAGCCACACATTTAACACTTCATACAAAATTTGCTTCAAAAATCAAAAGGCTTGATAAGTCTATAATGGAAAAGAAAAGTAAGCTTAAAAAGTTAAGAGGTAATAATGTAAAAAACAACAAATATAAAAAAGGAAAATATAGTGGAAATATATGATGCATTAGATCACCCATCATATTTAATGAATGATTCCAATCTTTTGAAAAAAATGCATAGTAGCATTGAGTTTGATGCTTCAGATTATAAACATCACAAAAAGGTCATCAAGTATAAATTATCAAGCATCTTTGAGAAAAGATGGAGGAAAATTATAATGCTTATATAGCAAAGTTTATAGTATAAAATTATATGCAAACTTGTCATTCAGAAACAATGAAAGTAAAGTGACAACGTCATCCAATATAAATATGATTGATGACTATTAATAGAAATGAAATAAACAAGCATAATGATAAACATTATTATCAAAGGTATAAAAACTTTTGTGTTAGCATTCTCACAAAGCATTGTTCTAATTTCTTAAGATAATAAAGTTAAGATCATTGCTTCAAATTTTTTTATTTTAATTAATGTTTTAATATTAATTATAAATTATTATTTTTAGGTTCCATTAAATATTGCTGCAATTAAAAAAATCTTTAAAGTTATACAAACATGAGCTTATATCTGTTTTAGATCATGATTTTTCAGTATCTAATATAAGCTGATTCTATCTATTTAACTTATGATTAATCCTAGCAATATTAATGAATTTTTATATTCTGAAAAAATGATAATCTTTATTTATCTTAAATATTTTTTGAGTATACATATGGTTGATTTTATAACAATTAAAGAAGAGAAGGCTTTTCACAAATTTATCTATTATAAAGGTTTAGTATAATCTATTTAATGCTTATTAACGAGTAGTAAACCTAATGAGAATTTTCGTTTTCTTGCAAATATTTTAAAATTTTTGATAGTTATTAAGAAATTTAATTTGGATTATTTTACGATACGAATACAGATATCAGGATAATCAGTATACAATTTTATAAAATAAAGTATAATGTCATTATTTAGCAAATTAGTAGGTATTATATTACAGTAAATGCCTTTAATTATGAAAATCATTTTAGTAGTATAAATGGTTAAATGTCAGTAATTGACAAAGAACTTGGTTATAAAAATTTCAAAAATGGTAATGAAAATCTTTATAAGCTCTAAAAATAAAATCTTATCAATGAACAACTAATTATTATTTACATATATTAAAAGTTATGATAATTCTATATTTTTAGATATTGAGGATAATATATGAGAATGGATTGATCATCATTCGCAGATTTGCAAATACTTTTTGAATTTATGTAAATGTGAGGATATAAGTTATTGCAAAGTCTTGTAAGTATCTGATGTCTTTGAACTTTTATCATAAAATAATGAATTTTTTCCTCCTATTATGCAAGGATAGGATAATTATTTCCTTAATTTTCAATAAAGGCATTTATTAGAAATTATATTAAAATTATGTATATGAGTAAAAGAAGTTAAATAGTATTCCTTAAACTTGTAGGATTTTGCAGGCAAATTTGCCTACTTATTTACTATAAATTCTCTTCTGATTTACTTTTATAAATAATTAATATTTTTAAAAAATTTTTTTAATTAATTATATAAATATATAATATATTATAATAAGTTTTATCTTTTAATTATATAATAAAAAATGTAATATTACTT